CGGGGCAGAGGGAAGCGCACCTGAGTTTGCGCTAATCTCCAAATAGAAGACTTAACCGGACTGATCAGAGCACTCGTTGTGCCCACCTCACTGCTCCCGTCTGCCCCCTCCCTAACAATCTATTTATCTTCGGATTAATATGCTACGGTGAAGCGATTTTGCCCTTAGTAGCACATAGCTGACCACTCTAACCAACGTTCGTCTCGCCTAAATCGCGCTCTGCTCGTGTTTGATGCACGAAATATCGTGTTAGGCAAATCGTAGATGTGTTCTTTTTGCTTATGAATTGACCTGATTTCGATTCCCATGAAAAACGCACCGGAATGTCGTTGGGTCATCATGTGAGTTCGTATTACTACTAACCTAACCGCGCTCGGCCACCCACCGTAATAGAAATTTTCTGATTTTTGGATGTTCTCCTGTTTGAGGACTCCGACGTAAGGCTCTTTCGGTTTGATTAAGCTTTTTTCACTAATTCATACGGGTTTGCTCTAAAATGAATTAGTTGAAATAAATCTAAATCTGTGAAGAAAGCCGATTACATAATATCTTTTGCAAGTGTGCAAATTCATCCAGAGAAAAAACTCTTGCAAGAACAGATTAACCTTAGCAGATTAATGAGACCCGTTCGAGAGAATCAGGGCTATCTGTGTACCCGCGGTGAAAGAACAGTTTTTGTTGTTGTAAGTCCTGAATTGTTTATTGATGGAGATTGCATGTGTGTTCTGCGGCTCTGTACGTTGTCACTTGTCTCTTTATTAACATTCCTGTTTTAAAATTTTCCTTTTGATATAGTAAGAGCGACACTTGAGGATGAATGACGCTAACTTTTTTAACTTCTCTGACTCAGGGCTAATTATTTGACTGGGAAACAAGAATTACTTTCCTTAAGCCATCATAGTTATTTGTTCTTTATAATAAGCCCTTAAACAAGTTTTGAGGAATCTAAAAACGAATTGTCTTGCAAGCTACTTTGCAAGTTACCTTTTGATGCCGTTCACATATGAATTGACTAGTATTGTCCAAATTTTTACTTTTGGTAAACCACATGTTTTAGCTGATTACTTTGATTCAATTCCTTTATGCGACTCTTCGCTCAGTTTTTCTTTTGCTAATTTTGGTGAATGCTGAAATTGAATTGTGAAGGTCTGCCCAGCATTAATGTTTTCACCATTTCTTTCTCTATCTACCATTAGCCTCTAATCACGTTAAAATCTTTTACCCTAGTGCAAAGTCACATTATCGGGCTTGGCTAGGAAAGGGCATGCAAGGACGACTAAGGCAGAAATGCCGCCCTTTGTTCGGTCTCACCTCCCATTTTAGACCTCGCGAGTGGGCATTTCATGGCCGAGTCATTCGATCATTCATTCTTACTCGTACTGGGGGGAAACCAGTTCACCAGCAACACTGGGAATCGTGTTGAGCGGCGTCAGCGTTAAATCTGGCTTGTCCTTTTGATAGCTGCGCGATGGCATTGATTGAGTTTATATCCACTCTTTTGCTCTTTCCACATTCACACGAAACACCTTTAGCCGACTTATGGCTGCCTTCAACTAGCGGGCGGTGTGGAGTGAAGATTGAAGGAGCCGGCAATTAATTGACGTGAACACGATTACGTTCGCTTATTTTAGTGCGAGGGAGGCCACCCAAAAGACGATTCTTCTCGAAAGTGCTGCTCGACCAGTTGTATTCGAAAAGATCTCACTTTCATTGAAGGAGCCAGGATTTGAGGTAAAAATTGTTCTTTTTTTGTCTACCCTTATATTCGCTAACTTGACAAATTCGGCATATGTATGTCTACATAAACTGGCCAGTTTATGTGCAATCTCGTCCGACTGCAATCCTCTTTGTAAACAAACTGATCGCTTTGAACAGCTCTTTGTGAAAGTGTTTCGTAGCTTCTTCAGTAAGAATCATGTTCCGATCAGTGTGCCACTGAAAATGTTAAGTCTCAATTTCTTTGA